AAGAAATAAGTATTTATATGTATATATTGCATTAATAAACCCAAGGTATAACTTTACATCTTGTATTTTTTTTTAATAGTACATGCAATTGTTTTATTAGACCTTGCACCAAATTCACAAAATGAAAAGTAATATTACATCACAAAACACTTTACTTCACACTTCATAAAAAATACTCGAACCTATGGCCCCTATTATGAGTTGCATTCGATTTTCGACTGTGGTCGAAAGTGCTGAGCGAACGAATTTTCATTTGGTATTATGGCGCTCGTTCGATGAAGAATAGCGCCATTGTGAATTTCGCTCGTTTAGGTTGTTCACAATAGTATATTTTTTCACCGTTGAGAAGCTTTGTTTACAAATCGAGCAAACTAAATAGTGTGCTAATACATATTTATGTAAATTTATGCAAATTAAAATGAAATAAAAAAAAAAGCAAGTTTATAAAAACGTGGTAAAAATTAGTACAACGAAGTTCTGTGGTTCAACGATTCGTCAGAGGATGAGAGTTTAGTGAACTTGCCAGGAGTAGTAAATGTTTAAGAGAGTTTAAGTGTAGTCTTTACAATATATTTTTACACAAAATATATTTAAGAAATTTGTCAACAGATTTACTAAAAACTTCCGACTTTCTAAAAAGGCGTTTGTGAGCCAAATCTATTTAAAATATTTTAAAACTATCCACAGCTCTATGATTTGTTCTCAGAGTTCGTGCCAATTGAGTATTGGGATTTTCTTTCACGAGTAAAAGCAGCCTTTCGAGCTTGTGTTTTGTGGTCACGACGTTAAAACTGCATGAAATTGATAAAAATTGTTTAAATTAGTGTCTACCCGCCAAAAAGTAAGAAAACAAATGCAAAATCATAAATTTTTCACAATTTTCTAACACTTCGCTACACCATCGAAAGCAAAATTCTGTTCGAGAGAAAATTCGATACTCAACGAAAATTTCTACACGGTTGCATAGCTCATAATACGAATTTCACTTTCGATGTTCGATCTTTGATAACCAGCGAAGATCGAAAATCGAATGCAACTCATAATAAGGGCCTATATTTGCATGAAAAATAAATTAGGGTTAGATGCCTGTAATTTAACGTTATTTGGCAAGTTGATCCCAATCGCCACCCCCCCCAAATAAAATGCTTTATCTGCCACTGATACTAGTATCAAGTACAACTGCTGCGTGTACCTTCTTTGGAATCAATAAATGTTAAATTGGTTTGGAAATGGATTTTCATAAAAATTATTGGTTTTATTCCATATTTATACTTTAATATTTAAAATAAAAAAGTGATATATATTGATACATTAAGTCTCTTCTCTGCTACAATTTTGTACAATCCCGCGGTCACACTGGTTATTTTCTCGAGATTCCAAATTAACGAGTGGATCCGGATTAACGCTGCAGTCCGTCTATGCTTTAACTCTTAATACATATCCGATTGTTATGCACTTTGCATTACTCATACATCTTTCCTTATAATTTTCAAATGAATGACGAATTTGTTTCCTTTCATTTGCTACGTATGTATGTAGGTGGCCTGTACAAATTGGAAGCGGGTACTAATGATCCTCACTGGCAATTGGCATAATGGCACTGATCCATTTAAAATACCTGGCTCTTTGGCGCACTCAGTGGGAATGTTTCAGAAGTTCCATTCACTCAGCGATGAGGAACGTGCTCAAGTGCTCTCCGAATATACTCGGTTTATATTGGTCCGCCATCCATTGGAACGTTTGCTCTCCGCGTATCGTAACAAATTAGAGGGAGAGTCTGCGAGTGCACGCTATTTTCAGTCGCGTGTTGGCCGACAGATAGTAAAAACCTTCCGAGTCGGCGCCACAAATCACTCCCTTGAGCATGGAGATGATGTGAGTTTCCCGGAATTTGTGCAATACCTGCTAACGCCGGAGGTAAGTCGCACCAATCAGTCATACAATGAGCACTGGGAACCTATATCGAATCTCTGCAACCCCTGTGTAATGAAGTACAATGTAATAGGTGAGTACGAATGTAATGATTCACTCAAATTTTAACAGTATTCATTCTATAGGTAAATATGAAACTTTATTGGATGATTCATCTTTGGCGTTGCACTTAGCGGGTGCAGATAATTTTACATTTCCTACTGGTCACAAACCTTCGAGTACTCGCGCACATTTGCGCTTGTACTTTGAGCATTTGCCCATAAGTGCAATACGACGGCTTTATGAGATTTATATAGATGATTTTCGTATTTTTGACTACGGACTGGAAGATGTGCTGGGCTTCGAGTTTGGATGATTTAGCATTTTCAAACAATGACGCTTCAAAATTATTATTTGTAATGGGGCATTTCTTATCAATTTATATGTTTTAAAATGTTTTTATATATTAGTATGCGTAAAGTACCAAATTTGTGGATAAATACTTAAGTAAAAGTGTTATGTAGCACTAACTAGTTGTAAGTGTAAATAATATGGCTGACTTCCAAAACATCAAATGCATTGCATAAGTACAAAGTTCAATGTTCCATAACGCCGAACCACAAAACGGATCCGAAAAGTTATCAAAACGTATCGCTAGAGTAATCAGGGCATCACTAACAAAGTTGATGCTTCGTTCTTGGTTACGATTGGTGTTGTGAAGATGGTGAATTCCGAAAGGATGTTCATTGTTATATTGAATATTCAAAATATTCAATGTTTATGGTTGCAATGTTTCGCAACTCTGCATATACAAACAGTTTAAATACCACAGTAGAACAGTATCCAACATTTATTTGTATGTTTTGGAAGTCGGCCTATATATCTGCATATATGTATGTGTACAATAAGCCTTACATGTTCATAGTGTGTACAATCTTAAGATAAATAGAAGAGTTGCAAGAATACAAACATTTTGGTACATTCATTAGCATATAACATGCTACATGCTTGTATTTGAATCAAAATAGGGGTATTTTCTAAATCTTGCAAAGCCACTGCGCGTAGCACGGATTGCATGCATTGCATAACCTGCAACCACAAAACAACAAAATACATGGGAAACAACATTTCATATCGCTGCAAAATACGCAACGTCGAAAGTCATGTATATATTTTGCAAAATAGCATAGCAATATAAATGCGACCCTGTGCTAGTGGTTTTGTTGTTGGAATTGCTACATATTTCTCTCATTCCTCTCATCTCGCTCACTTCATTTTTTTGCTGTCTCTTGTTATTGTATTTGATACATAATTTCGCTGCTTGCTACCCATGCATGCTACCACATTGCAATAGGGTGCTCTCGTACTCTTCGAAATTTGGAATAGTATTTTTTCATTTCGTGCAATCCGTGGATCGTGCAAGACTTCGAGAATACCCCTAATGTGATTAACTTGAATTTGGTAAACCAAAGCATATCTATCTAAACTCTACAGCTATGGATAGTGTTGGTCTAAAATGGATAGGTTCATTTTGCTTTGGTAGCTTAGTTGGTTTGATAAATCTTTGATAGGCAAAAATATTTATTAATATGCAACAAAAGTTAACCTTAAGATTTGTTTGATTGAGATTGCATACTTTCTTCTTTGCAACTTTTTATAGTAATTCCATATATGTATATAATACTTCAATATTACTAGCACAATATGGCGCAATGTGTTTTCAATTCGAAATCAAAAAAAGAACAGCCTATGCCAATTTTTGTAATTGTAGAAGCTTACATGTATATTTGTAAACTACTAGATAGAACAAGGTACCATATCATAACAAGGGCGGTACAGGGAATTAAATAAATAAACAAAAATTGTACGGTCTCATGTTTCCTTCCAGCCGCCAGTATATCGAGCCCTAACCTACAAAACAACGTAAGTGAAATTTTTTTCAAAACTCGATTTTAATGCAAAAATGCTCTAAGAGCATGGCTGAGTTCCAAGTTGCATCAATGCAAAGCATCAGGCTATTTTATTCCTAAACTATAACTGATGGAAATTTCCAATATGCCCAACCACGTTGAAATGCCGAATTGGAACCTGTTTAAGGGACTTGCGCTCCCTTAACATAACTATCCCGTAGGTCAT